GATTACAGACTTGTAAGAGAGAATCACATGGCGTCGCTAAAGACAGTAAAGACAGGGGGTTTGTTTGTTTTTTTTTTTTTTTTTTTTTTTTTTTTTTGTTTCGATGGAGTCTAGATACATAGACGATCGATCCACGACGGTCAGCAAACTTTTTACTGAAGAGTTTCGTACTTGTTTTTTTTTTTTTTTTTGCAGACAGGAAGAATATTAACAGCTGTCGATTTTTACGTGTAACAGCACATATGAACATATGCAAAGTGTAATAATTACATTAGTCGTATATAACTAGAATAGAGAATAATACACATCTTATTTTTGTGAGTGTATATATAGCGTATATATACATATTGTGTAGATTATTACTTATGTCATTTATATATTCGTGCGTATCCGGATGGATTGTTATCGTCCGCTGTTTTTCATTTTAATTATATCGAACGCGTTACTGCCGCCTCTCTGGCGCGTCTCTATTTAACGCAACTAAGATAATTTTGAGACGACGACCTTCCTTCAGGACACGTTTCTTCGAGAAACACAATAAGGAAGCTTAACGCATTCACTGCCGATCTCTACAATTTGTACGACCAACACACTCTCTCTCTCTTTCTCAATATATTTGGTTATTCGCGAGAACGGAGACAACGGTGCACTATGGTCGGCGGTGAATGAGTTGGTTACGAGTGTTTCATTGAACAGTGATGAAATAAAAGAGCATTGCAATACTAAAAAAAAAAAAAAAAAAAAACCATGAGTGGCGAGAACGCAATGTTATTGTGATATCGATAGCGATAACGTTTACCACTAACAGAACCCAAACAGAAAAAAAACAAGAGTTGAATTTTCCCCGTCAGGAAAATCGCGAAACTTCAATACAGAGAGGATTCTCATTCTATTTGACTCCACGAGTCGGGGATTTAAGACTAGATACACGTGATACTAAATAATTGTCCACGTGATTTGAGACTCTTTCTCTTTTTTTTTTTTTGCTTAAAGCTCAACCGATTGGACCATGCTTTCCCGTTCGAAGCTTTCGGAATCCTAACTTGCCGATTCGGCGACAGGTTTTTTTTATGAGATCGCGCTCGGATGGTTCACGTTTTACGTTCACGAAAGTTTTTTCACGGGATTGTAAATCTCAATGGTAAAACTCGGGATTTCTACTCTCGAAGTCCACTCCGCGCGAGTTTTCTTCTCAAAGTGAAACTTTCCGCCGAATGTGTATAATCGAGAGTAACTTTAAATATAATGTGCACACCGACCCAG